AAAACACTGGTCTGATTGGCACCTTGTAAATTGGCCTCCATACACCATTGGTTTAATGGGGAGGCTGGTTGGCTGTTCCCTTTGAATGGAAATTGGGGAGGGGGGCAGGTGGTCAAATCAGCTCTTTTAGTAAGGCCTAAGGTGCCTGCTGCTAGAGCAGACCAAAGCGAGCCGTTTGGGATGGTCCCACCCTGTTCTATGGCAAGACTGCTTAACCACCCTGTCAGTGCTGAGATACTTTCTCCCGAATCTTCCTCAGCCACATCACAGCCCAGTCAGGAAGCTGGGGCAGAAAGTATTTTCTTATACGCCTTTCTCCAGTAGCCGCCGCCACCACCACCACCAGTCAGATCAGCTCCCCTTTACTTTAGCATGCTGAATACCCAAAGTTAAGTAACTTTATTTCTACAAAGCACAAGCTCAGAGTAATGCCTAAGCAGGATTCAGCAAAATAAAGGGGGGGGGATTACAATCTGTGGCATATATGGTCTTTGTTGGTTGCATGATTCCTCCCTCTCCAGGCACACCAGCAGATATCTTTAGCATCATTCCCCTCTGTCATCCTTCATTGCAAATGCGCACAGGAATGCACTGCTCTCAGCAGGACCCTAGCACTGACCCGGATGGCCCAGCCTAGCACAGTCTCATCATATCTGGGAAGCTAAGCAGGGTCGGTCAGCTCTGGTTAGTATTTGGATGGGGGATCCCCAAGGAATTCGAGTGTCTCTGTGCAGAGGAAGGCAATGGCAAATCTCCTCCGTTAGTCTCTTTCTTGAAAAATCCGACAGGGTTGCCATAAGTCAGCTGCAACTTGATGGCACTTTACACACAAGGTGCCTCATGCTGGAGCAGACCGAAGCTTCCCTATGACCTAAGAGAGATGGGGGATTGTTGGACTTCCGGTTTGTGGATTGGCGATGGCGGTCGCTCTCCCCAATGCTTGGGGAGGCGACTAGCACACCAGCGGTGAGGAGGGATGCCACCTCAAGTGGTACCCCCATGGAGCCCTTGCGATGGGTTCCAGGCCAGGGGGCTTTTGAGGGTTAGCCTCTTCGATGGCTTGATGCTGGAGAATAGAGGCTTCCCTCTGCCCTGATGGTCCTGCCGCTGCGTGACCCTTGGGTACAAGCTAATTCGACCAGGACAGGTGCAGGAGATCGAGCGGAACAACAATGAAGAGAGTGAGGTCAAAGATATGACCAACAATGAATGTGAGTTCGAAGTAAACGGATTATTGTACTAAAACGGAGTATCCCCCCCCTGTGGGAAAAGCAGAGCGCAAGGAGGGACGCCTCCTAAGCGCATGGACAGATTAATGTAGCGAAGGGGGTAGGGGGAAAACTAACAGTGAGATTTTTCTGAGAGACTTACTTGAGTACCGATAGTGAAGCGACGAGTTTTTCGAGCCCTGGCAAAGCGGTTTGAAAGTGTAAACAAAGAGGAACATGGCGGCTTCCCGAGGAAAGTTTAAACCGAAACCAGGCAGTCAGAGTCCAAGACCGGAAGAGGGAGCAGACGTCATGAAGCTGCTAGCGGATATGCTCAAGCCAGTAATGGAGCAACCCAGTGGTATTAACCAGCAACTGGCCACACTAAATCAAAACTTCGCTTCACAGCAGCGCCACCTGGCAGAAACAGAAAAGAAAGTGGAGCAAGCAACTGAGAAAATCACAGAGATGGACACCGCAAATAAGAAAATGAAGAAAAGAGTGACAGATGTGGAAACAACACAAAAACTTCAGGAAACTCGTTTATTACAACTCCAAATGGAAAAAGCTAATATGACTCTCAGATTTCAGGGGGTGCCTGAAAGTGAAAAAGAAGATCTGAAGAAGAGTCTGGGAGAGATTATTGCTCCAGTAACAGGCTTATCAGCGGATGAGATAGTAAAAGACATGGAGGCTGCCTATCAGGCATATTCCAATTATATTTTAAAAAAATATCCTGCCTGGAGAGATTGTGGTTAGATTTGCAAGAAGACAGACCAGAGATGCTATATTAAAAGCAACTTCGGCAAATCCACTGAAAATTGGGAATACAATCATTAAGACGTTAAAAGACATTCCATTTGAAATTCATCAAAAGAGGATAAGTTACAAGGAATTGATCTCATTTCTTAAAACCAATGGAATTCAGTATCGTTGAGCAATTCCTGAAGGCGTCATCTTTAAAGTCAATGATAAAAGAGAGAAGATTGACTCCATCTTCAAAGCTAAGGAATTTTTGAGGCGTCATCTTTAAAGTCAACGATAAAAGAGAGAAGATTGACTCCATCTTCAAAGCTAAGGAATTTTTGAGACGTCAGCTAGGGCCGGGGGAAGAACTTAAAGATGAAGAAACTAAATCAAGTGACTCTGCTACTTCTGGAACAGACGAAGACTCTGTGGGTGAAGCAGGGGCCGGAGCGGGAGCAATGAAAACTGTATATGATTTCAGAGATAGAAAACCGAAGTAAGGGCAGAAGGACTCTGTAAATTGCTCTTTGAAGTGAAGATGCTCAAGAAGTACTCTCACGTTTGGCTTAAACTAGATTTTTCTTGGCTTCAAAAACTTTGGTTATGAAGTCCCTTACACCAAGCTGATATTAATACAGGATTTGATTTAAATGTAAACATACTGCATCTTTTCATCTCCTAAAACTCAATGTCATTTTCTGTTAAATGTAAGAGTTAAACCCTCCTTTGCTTTGTACTATGCCAAAAAACTTCTGACTTGAGATTAAACATTATCAATATAGCATAATTGGGCACATACATTAGTGAGTGTTTAAACATCCAAAGGGTACAGACTTGCCATTTCAAGGTGGAACTATTTCTGCCCAATATTTTATGTTTTTGTACTCACATTGTTTAACTGTTCTCAGTCTTCTTCCCACAAGGAATGCCACAAGTGGCTCCAAATTAACTCTTTGACCTAGTGCATATGTTTGAGTGACTCTCTAGTTTCAAAATCATGGCCTTTTGGGGAAGGGAGGGCAGGGTTAACATCCAGCTTGATGAGTTATGGAGAATTTGAAACCTCGCTCCGCTGTCTTGTGTAATTTTAGTTGGTGTTAACGTTTTCATTACACGAGCTTTGCATTTGGATTATTCTGTCCAACAAGTGCTAGGTCTTGCTTCTGAAAAGTTTTGGTTTAGTTCTTAAAAATCTTGTAGTACAAAAAGTTGTGTTTGGGTTATGTGGATTGATTTAAATAAAGGCAACTTTAATTAGCAATGTGAATTATTATTTAAATCGGGGGGGGGGGACTACCAATTTCAATCTGCTCTGCCTTGTGTGCTCCCCACCATACAATCTCAGCCAGAAACATAGTAGGTGGATCAGTGTTCTTTCTGAAGTGGAAGCCATGTTCTTTGGTATTGGGTTACAGAATCACATGGGGGGTGTCAGTTGGCATAGAATATGAGTAGAAGGCCACCCAGGTAGAGCAGCAGATGACATTAGTGGTGACTTGCAGTTCCCTAGCTCCTGGGGTCAAGCCATAATATATGAGCTGCTATGCTATTGAGTCCCACACAGTTTTCTTCACAAAGATACAACTTCCATAAGTATCTTAAAATCTGTTTTTAGAATGTTTGAATTAAATCTAGGCTTTATTTTAAACTAGGCTATTGCTAAACTTATTATGATGAACTTTTTTTTTAAATGGGTTTTTATCCTCCCAGCATGTGGGCTATGTAGCCAGAAACTCTGGATTAAGCTTCTGCCAGCATAAAGGTTCTATTTAGCTGCAAACAAACATGTTTCAATTATCACATCAATTAGTATGCATGCTTGTTCCGGATATTCACAAAATAGAAAATTGGCAGCTTGTTCTAAATTGTTCTGTTCTGTTGGCTGCAGCACAGATCTTGTCATGACTCCGCTCTCTGCCTCTCCCCCTTTGGGGGGGATGCTGCTGCCTTCTAAAATCTTCAGGATTCACAATTCTTCTAATGAAGCCTTTAGCAACGCACCAGTCTTTCCAAGGTGCAAATGCTGGATTGTTACTTGGTATGTGATATTAAATAACAGACCTTTTGTGGAGATTCAGAGCTTCTTTACAGATTTTGATGAAGGGGGGAAATGTCTTCTGGCTTTGTGTTTTCATGGCGAAAATACCCCACTTGAAAGAGCTGGGGAAATGGTGAGACAGTTATCAGAGCCCTTTAAGATGGATTATGACACATGTCCTTGTGTAAAGATGTGGTCCACAGTCTTTGTTATCTTGTGTAATGGGATCAAACAGGGGAATTGGTTTGAGATATAGATAGGTAAGAGCACAAACACAAGTGTGTCTTTGTTAGCATTTATATTCAGAGTAGATGGAGACCAAATTCTTGGCATGCATATTTTGTTGTGAGGTTTTTTGCACTGATAGAGTACCGAAGCTGTGATATTCCTGTATTGCAACATTTAAATTCAGAGTAGATGGAAACCAAATTCTTGGCATGCATATTTTTAATGAGTTTTTTTGCACTGATAGCGTACCGAAGCTGTGATATTCCTGTATTGCAATTTAACAATATAGGTGCTGAATGTGAAACTTCATCAGAGGTGAAAGTTGAGAGGTAAAAGATATGAGTATCCCTAGGCTTTCTTGGCCCTACTGGGTTAACAATGCATCTGGCTTTATTGGGAATACTGTGTTCTTAAATAAAGTTAAATCTTGTTTAACTTAAGATAGTTACACTTGTTTCCTTTGTGACAGACTGCTGTCTAGCCATTTTCACGTGGGCTCTCAGCTTGTGGTATAAATGGCATTGTGCATGTGTCCCCTTCAGAGTCATGCTCATGGCTGCCTAACCACAATGCTAGGAAGCTGACTGGCTGTATCTTGTATTTCCAGACAGTTGGAATCTCAGTTGAGGTCAAAGCTAATGTACTGTGACCATCCCAGGTTCTTATCCTGGAACTCTGCAGTGTTGTGGTTTCTGTGGCATTTTATTGCCTCCTTGACCGGAACACTAGTATGCAACCTATTTGTGATTACAGTAAAAAAATAATAATCTGAAAGAATAATGCTCAGAAATATACTCTCTTTTAGTTACCTATGAATGTATAGTAGGTCCTTCCATTCATCTGTCCTCAAAAAACAAAGTTTGCCCTTTAGCAGCATTTCAGTGATCCATTCCATATGAGCTTTTTATATTCACATTTCACTGGATTCAACTGATGTGTGGGGAGTTTGCACTTAGCAAGGGGAATCATTCAAACTCACAGCAGGCCCCAGTATGGCATATAGGCAGAAGTACTCCAGTTTAGTAAAAGATTCACCAGATGATTCTCCTGACAGCATTACTTCTAGAAAATAGTGGTAGAATATTGAAAGGCGCGTGTGTTCATCAGTTTCTTTGAAAGCAAATATGTACCTGTGATGATAACATAATACAGAGATGCTATATAGGGTAGGTTATTTTGGTGTAATCTATGTGACCTCTGAAGGGGGAGAAGAAGAAAAGGCAGGCTCTTGCCCATTGTACATGCACCCCACCTCCTCAGAGGCTCAGGTGATGGCTGGCAAAGTGGCGGCAACACCTTGTACAGGGTGGGGGGCACCCCTTCCTTGAAACTGGGGTGACCCAAGTGGGGATGGTGGCAGTGATTTTGAGGTCCCGTTCTGGACATTTGCCCAGGGATCTAGAGTTTCTAAGACTGTCCCTGATCATAGTATTTATGTGTGATGGAAGTATCCGCATGTACTGTCCATGTGTCAGGTCCCTCTTTGTGACAGGATGTTTGCAGAGCAGCATCCCCAATCACCTGGAAGGAGTATGCACATGGACACTTCCTCAGCAGGTAGGTGCCATGCTTACACAACTCGGTGATTGTGTGGAGGCAGGGGGACAGGGCCAGCACACTCACATATTCAGTCAGTGTCCCAAGGGGCTTTTCTCCCTCTCCCTTGATACTAGAACCTGTGGTCATCCACTGAAGCTGGAGGGTGGGAGATTCAGGACAGAGAAAAGGAAGTATTTCTTCACAGTGCATAGTTAATTTGTAGAACACACTGCTACAGGATGTTGTTATGGCCATCAACTTGAAAGGCTTTAAAAGGGGAGTGAACAAATTCATGGAGGATGGAGTTATCAATGGCTACTAATCATGATGGCGATCTACTTCCTCCATTACCAGAAGTAGTATGCCTCTTTAAATCAGTTGCTGGGGAGACAGGCGGGATAACATCAGTGTGTGGACTCCTAGAGGGAGCTGGCTGGCCACTGTGTGAACAAAATGCTGGGCTAGATGGGCCTGGTTTGATCCAGCTTGGCTGTTCTTATGTGTAGAGGGCTGGATGCGACTCAGAAGGCTGGCTTGATGAATGAAGTTCTGTATCAGCCTGGGATCTGAAGTACCAGTTTCTATCAGCACCTGCTGTAAGAGGTTGTGCTCTGGGAGCCCCACCACTAGGGCTAGGGTACATGGTTATGAAGGACAGAGCCTTATATATTGCAATATGTGTAGCTCTTCCCATTCCTGGTCCACCCACCTGGCACTACTCAGGCTCCAATGAACATATTTTTTTAGATTTTTTTTTTTTACTTTGCTTGCACTTTTAGTAGCCTGTAATAGCATTTACTGCAGGGTCAGTTGACTTTCTTTTGATGTATTGTGGTTTCATTGATACTTTGTTATTGTAAGCTACCATGAAAGACTTAGATTGAAAGGCAGCTTATAAACATCTGAAATAAACTGCCTGGACTGTAGCCCAGGATCATGTGGCATCCGTGTTGCATGAAGGATGGATGATCTAGACCGGTATGTCTGTTTCACAGAATACCTTGATCAGTATACATTCAACATGTGGCATTACGTTTGGGGTCTACAAGGAATTCAGCAGAGAACTTCCCTGTGAGCTCACTGGGAAACTGTACTGATGAATAAAGTGGAAGCCAGGCCCATGTTCCTGAATACAGCAGGATTGCATGTTGGGCTCTAATATGAATGCAATCCTGATATTAAACCAGCGGGTTCTTGTCGTACGTTATTGGTGGAAGGTTCCAACTGGTGTTTGCAGTTCTGTGCTCATGGAGTTGGAAAATGTATTGCTGAAAGCCTGTTTAAGTAATGGAGTCTTGGTGGACTGGTGTTTGTCTGCTTCCTGTTTTTTATTTCTGTAGTCATCTACCACAATGACTACTTTTGAGTGTATAAAGCTATTTATATACACAGTCTTCTGCTGTGGGTGATTCTGGTGGTCTCTGCTGAAGACCACAGTTCCTGTCTGAGCTGTTTCCAAGAAAACAGAACAGTTTTAAGATCTGCTACTTTTAATTTTTAAAAAAGAGCATCCTAGATGCTTCACTGACTTGTCCTTTTTAAAATTTCTCTTTACTGCACAGGTTTCCACCTGAGTGGCACAGTGACCGAGCCTGCAGCACAATCGGAGCCAGAAACTGTTTGCAATGTAGCTATCAGCTTTGATCGTTGCAAGATTACCTCAGTGACCTGTAGCTGTGGAAACAAAGACATATTTTACTGTGCCCACGTCGTGGCTCTTTCTTTATACCGGATCCGCAAGCCAGATCAGGTCAAACTGCATCTTCCCATTTCAGAGACTCTATTTCAAATGAACAGAGACCAGCTACAAAAGTTTGTACAGTATTTGATCACAGTGCACCACACAGAAGTTTTGCCAACAGCTCAAAAATTAGCAGACGAAATTCTTTCTCAAAATTCGGAGATCAATCAAGTTCATGGTGAGTTTATTTTTTCTCTAGGTTCTTCTCCTTTCAAGAATGTACTTCAAGTACACATGTATGGATTTTGTCTTTGTTGAAAAGCCTGACTTTCTTGCATGTAACTATACTTTGTAGTTGCCTATAGACCTTTTGCTCAGGTGTTAGCTTATGCCCTAAGTAGGCAGTAGAGTGCAGCTGAGTTTCTTGAACACTTTGAGGAAGTCATACCAGGACCAGTAATTGGTTGCGGCAGTGGGGAGGGATGAGATAATAAGCTGGATTCTTCAAGGTGTGCTTGCAGAGCTAGGGTTCTTGGGGCTGTTGGAAATGAAGGGTGTATTCAGGAGCTATTTACATGCTTACCTTGGGCTGAGGCTGTACTGTGAAGCCTCTAGCCATGTAGTGGATATGATTATTGGCATATTTATGTGGATGTTAATGCCTTAAAACAAGGCTTAAGCTGCATCTCTTTTGAACATAGCCTAGGAAAATGAAAAATCTTTTCTCCTCAGTTTCATGTGGTACCTGTAGGTCTGTTCTCACTTTTACTACTCTGTCTTGTTGCAGTAATTCCCACTTAAAGTGTAATTCCAGGGGTGCCAGGACAGCCTGTTCTGATACCATATCCCTGAAATTGGTTGACGGGTGTCTAAGACTGGCATCAATCGTGTAGTATTTGTGCTCCTGGAGGAGTCCACTGAGTGATACCCTGTCACCATTTGTACCAACATGGCTGAATATGAGCCCATGAAGATAATGAGATTTTGGACCAGTACACTATGTGTCACTGTTCTTCCAGCCTTTCCCTCCAGATTTGTATTATTGGGACTATGCTGTGTTTCACATGTATGCCTGCCTGTAGGGAAATCATGGGTGTATATACCTAGATGCAGTGAACTCTTGGTGTTTAGGGAGCAAGTCCATTCCCTTGAGGCTTGCTCATTGGAGGGAATGCTGACTTATTTTACAGGGCAGTTGTAAGGATTATTGTGGTGATGTACATGAACTACTTCGGGCACAGTGTTCATCAGTAAGACTTACAATGGAGTCTTCAGCTTTATGCTTTCAGTAGCAAAATCCATGTTACCAGGCCCTTGCTGTACCTTGGATAAAATGTCAACAATGATTTTCTGGTTACTCTGCAGTTCTGCTGAAATTTAGTAATTATGAGATTTTAAGATATTTTCTAATAATTGTATAAGTGACCAATCTTATTTTTAAAAAAAAACACCCTTCTGACAGCTCATGGAGCCCATTCCCACACTTTTCAGGGTTACTATGATACGAAAGAGCAGAGCATGATTCCATTCCTGGTCTGAAACTAAGTGGATACAGACCTGATGAGAATTGTGATGGATGTCTGCATGTGCCACTCTGAGCTCCTTGGAGGTGGGACAGAAAACAAATGCAACAGTATCACATCTTTTAGCATTGTGCCAGCACAGTGTGCAGCTCATCAGTTCTGAGCATGTTCCGGCAACTTGGCTGGTATTAGGGTTGCTGTTATGTACTTGTTCCGTTGACATTTATCCTCCTCTGTATTGGAGCACTTAATCATTTTAAACAGTTTGCAGGGTAGTACCCACCTCTGATGCCATGCTGCTTGTTCTTATGACTTACATTAATCTTGCTCTAGACAACAGAGCAGTGGCGGACTTCAAATATGCACTGATGGCCTGCATTGGAGACAACGTAAGACAATCCTAGTTAGGAGACATGCTTTTAAAGCCTTGAAGGTTTTTCTAACTTTTCAGATGCTTCACCGTTAGATGTGTTCTGTGGCTCCCAAGGGAACAAATGGAGGATATGTTTTATATAGAATCATGAGCAGGAAGTGTTCTCCATTTTTGAAGTGGTGCCAACTGCCTCCTTTAAGGCAGTCCTACTGTTGTATCATGCGTGAAGAAGGTCAAGAACTCTTGGAAGTTTAAGCAGGGTTTGGCCCTTGTGTATTTCAGCTGACATTTGAAGCACTTGGGTGAGTTCCAAAGCAGAGGCTCATTTAGAAGAAGTTCAGTGATGTGATTGCCTAAATGAAAAATACACAGTTCAGTGTTTTAATGTGACTATCCAGTTTATCTCTTAGTGACCATCCAATTTATTCCATAGTGAAAATGGACTTGAAAAAAGAGTGCCTTCCACATCAGAACAATACTTATGGGATTGGGTCCCACAGAAAAGTTTGTGGAAGGAGTTGGCAGAGAAGCCCTGCCTTCCCCAAAGAACTTGTCCCCAGAACCCTTGGTGAAATTTTGCATCCTCCTCCACCTGCACCGGTCGAAGAAGGCAATTTTTTCCAGCCCCTCCCCGCATCTGTGCCTCAGTCCTATAATGCTGTGGTGTATTTTGGCCAGGGAATCCTTGTGACCATCAGAAGATCTTCTAGGCACATACAGATCTATTCTGCCAACCCCTGGGCTTTTCTGCAAGGCTCAGTCTAGATGAGGATGTTTGTCTAGCTATGTAATTGACAGGAAGGAGGGGAACTGGTGGAGGTAAGCTGTATTAGGATGGAAGGGATGCATCTGTCTGTAGGTTCTACAACAGTGATTCCTGGGTCACTGGTGTCCACCACTGTGTTCCCTGGTGTGTGTTTGCTGCTTTGGTCTTGGGAGTAAAAGCCAAAGGGATCCTGAATAGACTAGACAAAAACAGGGAGCTTTGATTTCACTCTCTACCAGCTGACTGGCTACCAAACCACTGAGCTTATCCGACCAGGCACGTGCCATCTAGGTACTCCCAGCTTGGTTACAGAGTATACCTTTCTTATCTCTCTGAGCCCATCCCCCTTTGGAAACTGAAAACAAATAATGCCTCTTCCCCAAAGGTAGTGAGTTGATCCCAGAGATCATTCACTTCTCTGGAAGAGGAACTTCAAGAAGACCCCAGCAGGCATCATCATTGCACTGCAAGGAGCATCCATTCAGAAGCAGCTGCCTCTGTAGTAATATGGCACTTGGCTTAGAACCTCACAATGTTTTGAGATTAGCCATTATGTGGTGGTGCCCATTAGTTTGAATTCCAAAAGCGCTTGGAGGATCAACATGGTTGGGGAATCCTGTTCTGTGGAGCCCAGTTGATGTCCCAATTGTATAAATGCTGTCAAGTATTTTGAGGGGCTTTCTTTTGATTCATATAATGGGCTCATCTGGCGATGGATTTCCATGAGCTAAGGCAGATGACTCTTCCAGCCCTGGTCTCCAGGTTCATTTTTAGGTGTTGCATAATGAACCTAGGGCCTTTTGATTGAAAAGTGTGTATTTCTACCCACGAGTAGGGATGTGCATTCGGTTCATCCCCCGAAAA